GCAAAAAGGCCCCCCCCCCCCCCCCCCACACACACACACACACACACACACACACACATGAAATTCAATGCTGGCTGGCCACCCTGGTTACAGCACAGAGTTTAAAACAGGTCACCCTCCTCTCCCGACCCAATACAGGAACAGAAGGTGCAATGACAAAACATGCGGGTGAGGACGCCACATGGACTCCCACCACCTGCTCTGCATCGAACCGCCCTATGTGTCAAGTATGGCATGGGATATTCACACTTAAGACATTACTGGCCATGACAAGTTGTTTACAATGAAACTGAGCTCTGACAATGAGGCACCTCTCTCGCTTCAAATTCGGGGCCAGTGGCCTCTCCATGTACCGCCCTCAGGGCCGAGGAGAGCCACTGAACACTGAGACACTTCAGATGTCTGAAACGTGATGCTGTATGTGTAAGGGAGCGCTAAAAGACCACCCAATCACGACTAAATATAAAAGTTCATATCTGTTACATAAACGCATGTCTGCTGGGAAGGAAGAAACAAATACAACATTTCTTTCCAAGCCTCCATGACTGCAGAGCTTAACTGAAAAACTGATTTCAGTTTTGTTTCCACCGGGACTTCCTTCTGCAAAGTGAGGGGTTAATGTAGAATTTGTTCACAGCCAAAAAAGCAGCGTTGAAGCTGTTTTCACTTCCTGCTGTTTAGAGAGACTGTAAGGAAAACAAAGACAGCACTCTTCAAGACCTAAGCACATTTATTTGAATAGCTGAGATGAGGTCTTATTAGAAAGAGCTTTAACTACTGTGAAAATATGGGCAGCATCTATTCTTATAAAGTGCTGTTATACACTGCTTGTATCGTGAATACAGCATTTATGATTTCAAATTATACTAGAGCTTTGCAGCTTGAGACCTTGGCAAATCATTCTACAGAGACATTGACTCATCTTGGTAAAATCTGAGGCTTTTTGCTGCTGTGTTGCGATGCATAATATTGTAAGATGTGTCTAATATATTATATCAAGCAAAGAAGGTGGGCAGTGCGTAACTCCAGCTGGGTAAAGAAGCAAGACAAAGACAATGTCCTGAAGTAAAGGAGAAGGATTTTGGATCATGTGATAGCTTAATTGTAAGTAGAGCTTTATGTAAATTAACAAAGTGTTTTATCTTCTTAACAAACACCAGGGCTCTTTTTTTTTGTAAGGATAAAGACAGGAATGATTTTTTTTGCAATCAATGATCAGTTATCAGTTAAAAGTCATCCTATTTATGTACGTGTATGAGGGTAACCAGCTCAGTCCAGTAGATAATAGGAACAGAATAAAACATCATGTCCTGGATAAGCCTAAGCCTGTAAGTAATGTAGGTCTCCAACTTCACCTCAAGCTTGATCTGATCATCCACTGTCATGCTTCTTGAGTATTTAATTTTATACTACGTTTTACTTTAACTCTGGCACACTTTAAAGGGAAATCCTGTGTTTTTATGCCATCACTTTTATTAGGTAACTACAGTTATGGGTTATGTTTCAGATTGAAATGTACTGTATATTTATCACAATACACAGTACGTTAAACCACCCAACAGTGTATAAAACTATTAAAACTAGTTTCAGTGCATTTAGCTACATTAGTAGCAAAACATTTGATTTACTCATACATTAACATCTAGCCTATAGCTATTTAATTTAGCTTATGAAGGGGACGTTGATTTTAATTTATTTATATACGTTTGGGTATATATTTTTTAAATATTCTAACATGAACTGCAAGCAGCTATATTTTTTAAATATTCTAACATGAACTGCAAGCAGCTAAAGCTGTGAGATAGATGTAGTTAGATGTTGTGAAGGAGAGAGAGAGCAAACTGAAATACTCAAAGTACAAAGACCTTAAAATTGTACGTAAGCAGAGTAAATGTGGCCTGGCAGTATATAGCCTATTAATGGTGCAGGTTCCCTTTAAGAACATATAGAACGATCCCAAATGTGGAGAATCTGGTGAGAGAACGGGCTTTAACGGGGCCTTATCAAACACACACGCCCTTAACGGTGTGTTAAACGGTTGCGGGGACATTACCATTCTCCACCGACAACAACCATGATGCTACAGTATATTGTGCTACACTGACACCACTGACGCACGGCAGCCAAAATATGTACAACATTAACAGAAGTTGCACAATAAAGGCGTTAAAATCCACGTTAAACGCTGAAAGCGGTGTGGATGCGCAAGTCCTGTCGATCGCTTAGCGTATATTCCATCAACACAATGATTCCGTCGATGATGCTGGCTCTATCCACCCCTTCATCACGCACAACAAAAACACGCAAACACAGCGGTGGATTATGATGGACTGCGATCATTTTCTGCAGGGTTATTAAGAAACGACGCAAGAGGATACGTACCCAAAACACGAAGGAATAGACGATGAGCAGGGTTTTAAGGCAGGTGATGACCGGTTTGGTCTCCATGGTGGAGTGTACGGTAGAGCCGCTGTGATAATAACGGCAGAGGAAAAGGGAGAAACGTCTGTCGCGCTGCAGCCACACGGCGTCAGTGGAGCGACGCGTCGGCGCAACCTGAGCGCGCGTTACCCTCAGTGGGAGACGAACATTCCCATTTCTTCTCTCGTACTGGGTGTAATGCTGCAAATAGGTTAACAGCATAATGGAATTTTGGCACGGTTTGGCACAAGGCAGTTTTATTAGTTAATGGGAAAACAAATCATCTTCCGCACACTCTCAGGACTTAGGGCATTAAATCACTACGTCTTCATCAAGATTGATTTTTGTTGCTTGTTTTGCGTTTTTCCTTTTGTCCAAGTCGTTTTAAATGTGTGCAAAGATGAGCCCTTCTGTAGAATGTCTTTATATAAAATGTTAACCCTCAAATAACGGACTCCAGCTGTCATTAGGTTTGGTAAACACAGTATTTTCCATCTTACATGTAGTGCAGTTAAAATATAAAGCAGTTTAAGTACTCAAGTGAAGTACAAACCTCAAAATTGTACTTAAATACAGTAAATGAATGGTACCTATTTATATTCCACCACTGCAATTTTCAGGGTAATCCTGTTTTATGGATCAGGTATAAAATACTTAGTGTTTTCTGCTGTAGCTTAGTTGTACATACAGTAAAAATCAGCTCTGGGCAAATTGTACAGATTTATTTAAAGTGAGAAAGGGATAAATACAAGCAGACATTAAAGTGTTAATGTACTATTACTTTTTATTTTATGAACCAAAAACACTAAAAACAATTGTTGCATGTACATATATGTTTGGATGACTTAGCAGTACCAAGTACCACAGCTTTGCCAGCTGTTCAGCAACTATTCTGGAAGTGAATAACACATATGAGTAGAAGAAAAACTAAACTGTAAATGCTTGAGGTAGCCTAAAAATCAACACAAAATCAGCAGAAATAAACATGCATGTTATTTACTGAATCCATCAGAATGTATTTATCTTTTCACTCAGCTCACCCTCTGTCTCCACTTGAGGGGGGACTCAATCAGTGAGCTGAATACTGACGAGTCTGGTGAAGTTCCTGTGCACAGCCTAGCTTTCATAAAATGCAGGAACAGTTCATTTACATTTTAGAATGAAGTGTATCTTCAAATAAACAATCCAAAGGCCCAGTGGCCATGTTCTTTTAGCTACATTTATTTGTCCCATCTACATCTGAAAATGGATATTAAAACCAACAAAATAAAACAAACACAATCAGTCACTACATACAGTAACACATTGTGGTTCTTCAAGTGTGCTCAGTCAGTAGTATGTGCACAGGCTCCTCGAGGAAATACATTACAAGTGCTCAGACATACAATATAGTCTTTAAGACAACAGGTCTCATGCAGGAATCACAAATACAAACAGCTTTGTCCTTAAGATAATTAGTCACATTTGCCACAGTTTTAAATGTTCTCTTAAGTATTAATGACATTGATGTGTGGTCCAGACTCGCCCTGTCATACAAGTCATGTACAGACAACCTGAATTATAATGCTTTAATCTGAATGAATTAACAGTTGGAATATGCAACAGGAACAACTGAAACAAACTGCTAAAATAAGCAATATGATAAAATTCATTATTGCATGTATCCACAAACATTAATTGCAATTAATGCAATATTCATCATATGACCATCATCATGGTATTGTGAATTAGGTTCAACAATATATATATTTTGACATGATAACTTTAACAATTGAGTATTTGTTATACAGATTCTCTTACAATGCACTGATGGCATGTTGTTACCAGCTATATTAAGAACTTCAAGTTGCTTTGGGCCTTTTAATTAAACAGGATTTGAAGCTCCATGGTATGAAACTCTTTGGAAACACTTTGTGAACAAAACTTGCCGAGAAACAAAACACAACAGGGACTCTTACATGCATAGCAACCCAAATGATGAACTCCCAAACAAACATTCACCTGCTTGTAAACAGCTGCATTCATCAGGTCAATATGAGCAATTTAGTTTGTGCCATTAAAGAGTTTGGTAAATTTGACTTGGAAGAAGTGTTACAGAAAAAGTACAAGGGGTTTAGGACAACAATACATGAGGCCTAATATAAGACTGGTGTGCATTACCTGGTCCTACCTGAGTGTTTCAGGCTACTTTCTACATCAAAGGTTCCCTACATGAGGGACCTGTTCTTCCTCAGGTCATGGACAGCTGTGCCGAAGCAACGATGAGAAAACAATATGTGAAAGGGCACTGACAGTTCTCATCATACTGTCTCAAAGGCATCAATCTTCTGATGAGAACTTCAGCCCCTGTATTATATTGATCCCTGATGTGCAGTCTGGTTCACATACTAGAATCCACTCAGCTCTGTGACATTCACCTCTTACCGCCTCCTTGAGGAGAAGCTACGAGAACTGTGGTCTCGCCACATTTCCTCTATACTGATCCAAACTCACTCATCCAAGCGTCGTATTTCTCCAGGTCAGCAGCAGAGACAGACTTGGAGATCTTCTTGAGTGTGAGGGTGAAGTCCTCCATGGTCACTGGCATCTGCAGCTCATCTTTGGACAGAGCTCGGATCTCTTCGGGACTCAAGCCGTGGATTCGACGGCGCATCGCCATCAAGGACGCATCCCTGATGTTTATGCAAAAACAGTAGCAGAGAGAGGCAGGGGACGGAGGGCTGTTACTCATCACACACGCAACATCTACAGTTTAATATATTTACTCCCTATATATATCTCACACACATTTATTATTTTGAATTCCATATCAGAAGAGTTTTATTCCAGTCAAAACTGTTGAAGTCAGGGATGTGAAGAAATCCTGCAGGCTGCGTGCGGGTGATAGTCACACACACATACAAGCTCAATGAAACAATACAACATGGGCAACACAGAATACCTGGCATTCCCACCATAGCTATGGTAGGAATACCTGGTATTCCCACCATAGCTATGGTAGAAAGCATACAAATGACAAGAACAGGACAGTAAGTGTTACACAAAAAATATAATTAAACTGCAATTACACCATTATAGTGTTAATGATAAAGCACAATCAGATTCTGATGACTGCTCACACTTTACAATAATCATAGCTGTATTCTGTCTGCACCATGGTGTGTGGCACTGAAACAGTGATGCTAATCATGTATCAGTAATTGTTCTTAATTATTTGAAAGAATGATCTGAATCTGAGCTTGTGTGAGTGCATGTATGTTTGGGTGCGAGCCAAAGTAGCCAAACAAATCCTGGGTGTATTTGGGGAGACAGTTACAGTACTGATGAGAATGGACAACAGCAGAAATGTTGGAAATTCACAAGAAAAAACTTTCAAATGACAAAAACCTGAAACTTAAACTTAGATTGTTCTATGTTTAATGAGTTACATACACCTCATATACATATACCACCTTTTCAGTGTGGTATTGCAAAATACTGCACACACACACACCTGCAGATGTTGGTGATGTCCGCCCCAGAGTATCCCTCAATCTTCTCAGCAATGAGGTCCAGATTCACATCAGCAGCCAGGTCCACCTCCCTCAGGTTGATCTTTAGAAGCACTGCGCGACCCACAGCTAAACACACACACACACACACACACGCATGCACACACAAACACACACACATGCAACAGTATCAATCAGATATTAGTATGATGTATCGGAACATCAATTTAAGAGGAATGGGTACAATAAATACATTAGGTGAGTGAATAAAACTCACTGCTCTGAGACCACTGCAGCTACACTATACTACAGTTTGTGGTGCTATCACTCTGTGGGTGGTGAGGTCACCTGTGGGCAGGGGTATGTAGATGCGCTTCTCCAGCCGTCGTCGTAATGCCTCGTCAATGTCCCAGGGGAAGTTGGTGGCAGCGAGGACCATCACCATCCTAGAGGGGTCATCATTCTCCAGGGCTCCACCCACACCTGGTTGCAAAACACACACAAAACCACAATTAACTAGAAAATGCACATTACAGTTCCATTCATGTACTGTATGATCTCAGGATCTAAGCAGGACCGTACTGAATTTGTTTTAGTTTCATACTGGCCTTCTATGTAAAGTTTTACAGACTGAGATAGTTTATGTCAAACTTATTCAGTAATAAAGTAGACTTCATCCCAAACATGAGTTTTTCTTGAATTAACTCCATAAAGTTATATTCACACCATTTCACAGCTTCACTTTCCCAATTTCTCTGTTCCACTCACCATCCATCTGAATGAGAAGTTCTGATTTCACCCTGCGGCTGGCTTCATGTTCATCAGATGTTCCTCGCCTACCACAGATGGAGTCGATCTCATCTATAAAGATCGTTGTTGGTGCATAAAACCGAGCCTAAGGAAAAAAAACAGTTTATGAGAGCGTTTCTCTGACACATAGCAAAATATTATATCTTCAGTTTGGGATGATGAGGTTGTGCCTTACAGACTGCACATGCTTACCATTTCGAACAGTAGACGAACCAGTTTCTCAGACTCACCCCTGTACTTGGAGGTGAGGGTGGAGGAGGACACGTTGAAGAAAGTAGTCCCACACTCTGTGGCCACAGCTTTTGCTAACATGGTCTTCCCTGTACCCGGAGGGCCAACCATTAACACACCCTAAGAGAAAATGTTACACAGTTAAAACTTAAGATACATTAACGATGTACACAGACACAGAAAGGCTCTGGGGTTGACGATCAGTGAGTGCAAATTCTAACACTCACAGAAAGGCTGTCATAGTGATACTGGGCCAAGTGTTAAACTATCTGCCACTGCAGTCAGAAAACTGAGTTCACTTCATTACTGCTGTAAAGAATGGTCTATGGCAGTATTACACCAGGATGCGGCTCTTAAAAGAATATTTCAGCATTGAGGGAAACACGCCTATTTGCGTTCTCACCAAAGTGTGGCTTAGATATGGCATTATAAAATCCATGTGCAGTGCTTATTTTGATTTGATTTGATTTATTCTTTCAAGCATGTACAACAGTTGATATGACAACACACATAATTTTACACATAATCCAATATCAATTTGCTTATACCTAGTACATGCTTGAATGGAGTGAATTGAAAAATTTTAGCAATTTAGATTGTATGAAAGCTCCAATGGTGTGATCCCTGTACCCCATCTTATGCACAATTCTTATCGCTCTTTTTTGTAATATATACAATGGTTGAAGTGAGCTTATGTATGTATTTCTCCAGTTTTCAACGCCGTACTCTAAGTATGGTAAAATCAATGAGGAATACAAAATGCGTAATGCTTTCCCGTCCAAAATATATCTAACCCTTGCCAATATCGATATATTTTTTGCTATTTTATTCTGAACATATCTGATATGCGATTTTCAGGAGAATTTGTCATCAACTATGACACCTAGAAATTTAATTTCATGTACTCGTTCGATATTAGCTCCCCCAATTTGCAATTGAAGTTCATTGTCTAGTCTACAATTCCCAAATACCATAAATTTAGTTTTATCCAAATTCAGAGATACTAT